GCGACTGAAACCCGACTAAAGACTCACCTTCCCAAAAACAAACTCTTTGATTCAAGTGAACAAATTTGGTTTCATAAACAGCAATTTTCACTGAAAAGCATCAAGTTTGCAAGTATGAGACGAACGTATTTTAAAATCACGTCAATACTAACCAAATTTAAGACTTTACTAAATAAATTTAAGACTTTTAAGGGTCTTAATTTTCCTTTCATCAAATTGAAGACTTTTAAGACCACGCGGATACCCTTACAAAGTACTGAGTAACTATTACTAATTACTTTTTAAAAGTGACATTCCCAACACTGGTCCCTAATAACATCAGTTGATGCACACATTTCCTGAAGGTGAATCAGCTTTTGAATCTGAATTTAACGGTTAAATCTCAACTTTGTGCACTGCTCAGTGTTGGAGTCAGACACCTACATTAAGTTACTTTACAGTATTTATCATGCAGATGTTATTAATGAACGTATAAATACATTAAAATTAATTTCTGCAACAGCACCTGGCTGGCCGAGGATGTGCCTGACTTTACTATAGACAAATATCGGCTGATGCTGATATACCGGTCTACCCCTAACAGAAACCCTGCAACGATTTGTGCCATCAGAAAAACACAAAGGTTTTTGGAAAGAAGATAAGCTGCTTTTCCAAGTCTGCATACTTTTATTAGAGCATATTAATGTCTGCTGTTGCAGGAAGCTGACAAATCAGCCTCTTTGCCCCTCCCTCTCACACACATGAACGGTGCAGCATGAGGGATGGAAAATGAGCCACAGAAACAGAAAACAGCTATGAATCATATTGGCCATAGTAGTCAGGAGTGCTGTAAAACCCTGAAATTGCACTTCTAATTGGAAAATAATACGATTATTTAGCCATAACTTTTACTTTAATGTGTTCTGAGCAAACTGCAACAGACCACAGCATCTATTCTGACTTTAGAGGCAATTTTGATGATCTGACCTGTAGCTTGTCTTCATGGTTTGTATGAGTTGTTGAAAGGTGTCTGAACTCCTGCGTCAGTCTGAAACAGTGCCTCACATGCTCAGGAGACACGAAGTCCTCTGCCACCTTGATACAGCTATACAAGTTGTGTACCTGGAAGGGAAAAGTCATGGGAAGAACAAACGTGGTAATGACAGCACACATTTCCTTGAATCAATGGGTGTTAATGACTGATGCATTTGTATGAAAACTATCATGTGTCTGACCTGGTGAGGAGCTCCAGCAGGGATAAACACAGCATCTCCTAGGAACTGTACAATGGCCCAGCCCTGGACGCCGTACTCCTCATAGAGTCTGCGTCTGAGCCCCTGGTCAAGGTACCAGCTCTGGTCATGAATAGGGTCATGGTCTGGAGGGTTCTCCTGACCTTGCTCCTCTCCCACCTGATACAAATGACATAAAAGATAAGGCTGAGAAAAGATTTACTGACACTATTGTAAGCTCCTCCCCTTTTCTATTTACTCAATGACAAATAAGTCAGTGACAGTTTGTTAAAAACATCTGCAAACACTGGTGTAGTTTAAAGGGTCTGATCTGAGATCTGTTGGCCGCTGACCTTGCGGAGCAGTTCTCTGATCTTCTCAGCATCTTTGGCAGCATAGATGTGCCAGAGAGCTCCAGGCTTCTCCTTCCCTTCATGCACCCTCCTCTTGGTCATTTCATCCACATCGCCCTCCTCTATGGTGGTCATGACCTCTGGAGACCGAAATAAAGATGCAAACAAAACAAACAAAAACAGGCAGGATACCAAACATTTATCAGTAGTGTCTTTAAAACATAATGTCTGAATTTCATTTCCTTTTCTGATTACAGCCGATATTAAAGGGGTCCTAGAACAAATTTTTACTTTTGGAAAATGTTCAACTGCCGTTGATGACTAAAGTCATCATTTTAAATCCAACTGACCGCTGCCGTTGATGACTAAAGTCGTCAATTTCATTTTTTTACGTGGCGGGCGTCAGATCGAGCCCCCGCACTGTGAGAACAAACATCACGGCGCTAAAGCTGATCTTCATCTGCGTATGTCACATGATCAGGAAGCAGGAAATCTATGTACTAGGAGATAGTTTTGGGCCGCTGTTATGAAAAAAGTAAGGAGCGAACCGGATTATGAAAGAATGGATAAACACGCGGACTCTTTCTGATGAAGAAGTGAGTCCACTCTTTGTTTTGGTAGTTTTGGCATTGACATCACAGAGCAGAAAAAACACTCAGAAACGCTGGCTCCCAGGGGCTTTCTGATCAGAAAAAGGCTGGCAGTGAAGGAGTTATGGGTCATGTCACGTTAAATCCACCTCCTACGTCCTACTGAGTCAGCGGAGGTGAGCGTCGTGCAATGACGTTCCTGAGGAGAGGTGCTGACAGAGAGATTCAGAGATCTGTCTGGATATTCTGTCAAGTTTTGTGATGGGAGCAAAACGTCTCTCTGGTCTCCGTGGGGAGGGGGGTTGTCCCTTCTGTGAAAGAACCTGATAACAGAACATTTTCAGGTGATGCTAATACGGAAAAACGACGAGAATAAGGAGTAAAATAGTTTATAGTTTAGAAAATGGTTTCCGGTCCAAAACAGGAGATTTGACAGGTGTGATCCTGAAATTGTGGATGAACTGTCAGCAAAGGCTTTCACATCACAACTCCACTGAGCGGTCTCAGTGTGACTTCCTGTCTACTTCTGTGTATGCGGGCTGTGAAGCCTCCACACTGCAGAGTGTTTGGTGTTGCATTTCAGCTATGAAATGAACAACCACAAAAAAAAAATTATCGGATTTACTCAAAAATCGGAATTGAGCATTAAGACCTGCAGTGTGAAGGTAGCCCATGACGCTGCCTGAAGCTATGTACAGAATCCAGATAAACCAGTAGGCAGCTATGGATAAATGATAAATGATCCGCACTTGTATAGCGCCTCTCAGAGTAAGGACTCCAAAGCGCTTTACACTACAGTGTATCATTCATCCATTCACACACTCATTCACACACTGATGGTGATGAGCTACGATGTAGCCACAGCTGCCCTGGGGTGCACTGACAGATGATCAGAGGATCTATCTGCCTCCATTCTGTCAGGAATTCTGTCAGTTTGGTTATTCCCAGTACATCATGGAACTGTACATGTGTGCTTTATGGTAAATAGCACCTTTGTAGGGTTCTACAACCCCCCCCAAGGCGCTACACGACACAGTCATCCATTCACACACTGGTGATGAGCTACAATGTAGCCACAGCTGCCCTGAGGCACACTGATGGAAGAAAGATTGTGGAACACAGGCGCCCCCAGTTCCTCCAACCACCACCAGTAGGTAAGGTGGGTTAGGTTTCTTGCTCAAGGACACAACAGCAGCATTCTCTGGCGGAAGCCAGGCTAGAACCTAAAACCTTCCGATTACCGGACAACCTGCTCTACCTCCAGAGCTACTTTGACATCTTTGTTGCTCTCTTCTCGTCAGACAAGTACGTTAGCAGTAGCTCAGGCTAGCTTTGTTCTGCAGTTAGCATCAACACCTCACACATTTATATATTGCCAACATTGACGTGGGTTGGGACATGCAGATTTTAGCGTGCCTAAACCGTTTCTCAGTGGCCATTACATTATTACTAATTAACATAAGAAAGCAGGTCAGAGATAACACAAGCTTTTTGGTATGCTACATTAGACACACCAAGCTACCTATATTCAACAAGGTAAATGCGGTTTTAAATTCTAGAACCCCTTTAATCTCTGTTAATTTTCATTGAAAATTCCAGCCTCTGATTTATTTTGATGAACTACAATACACTGCTACACCTGGAGGAGTGGTTGGAACTGTTAAATCTAAAACTCTCTTGTTGAACATCATTATTTAAGAACTGGATCAACATTCATCTTTCACACATTTTTACATAAAACGTTACAGAAACGTGGTTCTCAACTGGCCGTCCATGACCCAGAAATGTTTCTCAAGCAGTCTTGAGTGGATCTGAACTCTGTGTGTTGTTTAACAGTTTTATTTTAGAACACTTTCATTGTTAAAAGCTCTGTTCACACCAACAGATTTTAAAGCTACTGTGGCAAATCTGCAAAACAAGCTAGCTTAAAACATGTTTTCATGCCTGTTAGCAACATTCTAACATAGTATAGTTATAAATACATTGTGGAGATTAGAAAAAACCTAAAAAAAAAACTACGTGGTTCTCTCGCATTTGTCTGAAAACCTTGGCCAATAACACGACTCAGACCAAAACCCACTTTTGAACAATCCAGCTGTTGGTCTCACCAAACCATTGCACTCTCATATTTAGCAACAGAACACCAGTGGTGTAAGAGGTTGTCGGCTCAATAACATAAGAGAAGGAGAAACAGCCGGTGTAGGTAGCTGATCTGCTCGGGCTGCCAGATCAGCTCGAGGTCCTGCGCCTGCTGATGACGTCACACTACAGTAAATCCACTCAGCTTTCACACAAGTTTTGGAAAGAGTTTAGCAGTTTTGTTAATGAATCCTTGTTTCCATCCATCCATCCATCCATATTTGGCCACTTATCCAAGGTCGGGTCACAAGGGCAGTAGCTTAAGCAAGGAGGCCCAGACTTACCTCTCCCAAATTGGGCTCGGCTCTGGGCAGTACGTCCCACCCCCTTCCCCCGCGCTGGCTGCTGCCGCTGCCAACACACAGGGGAAACCCCGGATATACAGTATATATGTATAAAAAAAAAGTTACACAACAGATCCTGAATCAGTCAAAACCGCAAAAAATCCGCAGCTTTGACGGTCACGTAATCGTGTTGTTTGAAATCGCAATTTCGGTCCAATACCGATAGATCGTTCAGCCCTGCCAGACACTGCAGAGAAAACTCATTTCGGCCGCTTGCATCTGCGATCTCGTTCTTTTAGTCACTACCCAAAGCTCGTGGTCATAGGTGAGGGTTGGGAGCCCGAGTCAGAACAAATAAATTATTTATTACCGCCTAAACCTTTTCTTAACTGTAATTTGTTAACAAAACACCATATTGTCTTCTTTTGTAAAGAATGTGAAAGTACATAAAACCAACATCAGGCTGTGCCAAAAAGCACAACAGTTTTTATATGTGAATTTTTTTTTTGTATTTACAGTTAGCAGCCATTTCCGTTTGTATGAATGTAGAATTCGTCTGTATATTTTGTTGGTTCTTATGTAGATAAATCCATTCATTCAGTCAAAATGTTGCTAACTATTTGTTCAATAAAGTTTGGGGATTTTTTTTTTGCTCCATTTCATCAAAATCAAGAGCTGCTGAGGGTCTCCATTATTCAGTTGATACTTTTGCTTTTATTTTACGTTTCCTTTGGCAATACAAACATATTTTCCCCTAAGTGTGTTTTGGACTACAGAACTAGAACCGCAAAGACTACATCCGCAAATTTGTTAGGACCAATCAAAATGTTTAGTGTCAACAAACTAATGTAACTTTTATGAACGCGGTATCGTACCTTCCATAAGTCCTACATTCAGCCAATCAACTAGTGTGACGTCATCGGCAGCCACAGGACCCCGACCTGATCTGGCAGCCCGAGCAGATCCGGTACCTACACCTGCTGCTACCACTTAAACTTTAGGATAAAGTACCAGACTCCCAAAAAGAAAAAACCTTTGAAGTCACAGACAACAAAAGATGTTTGGACCTAGAAAACGGCAACTAGTGTTTAGCGCCATCTCGTTTACTGTGGCAATGCGGGTTCCAGTATCAGGCGGATGTGGCCCAGGTACTATACCCGAGGAGAAGGGTGAGAGTTCAGTGACCTTTTTGTGTGTAAAAGCTAGCTTGTTTTGCAGTTTTGCTATTGCAGCTTCAAATAACAATGTATGGATTTTGAATCTACATGAAAACACAATTTGTTGAGAAAAACGGATATTTAAAAACTCGATTCATGTGTACATGACAAACAAGAGTAACTTCATCCTGATCATGTGAACAAACTTTGTGTTGAAAGTTGAGAAAATAAACAAACTGACTGATTTTGGATAACCTCTAGTCACTCTATGATTTGCTGTTCACGTCACCTTTGGCTGGAATTTCTTCTTCTAGTTTGGAAGAACTTTTGTTTGTTTTCCAAATAAATGACACAATGTCTGCCTAAAAATACTAAATGTATGACTATAGCAAAGGCTGAATTTGCAGCAACATATTTGTCATCTCTGAAGTAAGAACCCTCAGAATTCAAAGGTTAGCCACAAACACTGATACCTACTAATACGGTTGTAAGAACTACTGCGGCGGCGCAGCATCTCAGCAGACGGTGTGGCTTATACTTGTTATGTCTGATGGTCAATGGAGCCTCAGCAGAGTTTATATCAAACTTAACTAGAAGTGGGGTCAGACACCCCTGGGCAAACATTCCTGATTAGTTAAAGTGTTCCGGCTGGAGCAACTGTTGTTTTAGAAGGAACTGTAGCAGTCAAGGGGTTCCAGTCGGAGAAGTGTGCCATTGTGGAGTACCCTACATCATCTCTACCTGGAGGACTGCTGGTAAAGACCTGCCTCCTCAACATACCAACCAGATCCCCATGCAGGCTACCAGTTGTGATATCTAATGCGTCTGAGCACGACATCACTATTCCGGCCAAGAGCGTGATTGCTGCGCTCAATGCAATCCAAGCTATTCTACCACACAAGCAGAGTGCGACGGAGGGTCAGGAGCCAACTAAGCTACCTGGATCCAAGTCCCCTGATCAACCTAAGCT